TCACCCAATTATAATGTAAGATGTGGAAAAAAACAATCACATAACAATTACGTAATTTCTAGTTAGCTATTTTGCCCATTGTTGTTCAGAGTTATCCGCCGCTGGCCGTTTTGAGGTATTGGACTGCACAATATTGATTAGTATAGCCCCAGACAGTCGTCCATAGTGAAGTGTGTGTGGTATGTCGTCGGAACATGTTAAGCATTTACTTGCATATGCCGGCAATAGCTATTCATTCTGTAGTCGTTGTTGTTTTAACCTACAATTAACACGTGCATAATTTACATAGTGCCGCCATCTCCCCCAGAACATGGTTGAACTTTGTGAAACTTGTAAATTATTCACTTTGGTAATAGATCTAGTAAAACACATACGACAGAAAGGCAACACGACAATATCCTTTTTATAAACTAAGTACATATGTTTTGTTTGGAGCTTACTGTAGTATTAGAACGTTTTACATAACATACACAATAATAATCTTATCGAGGGATATGTAGGGCGGACTGACTTCCAGGTTATCATGTAGAATTTCAATTACACTTACCACCGGCAAATGAGTACACAAATCAGTCTTACTCTCACTCACAATCCAATCCAATACTCTCTTATATTTAATTAATATATGTGTATTGTATATACAAGTTGATACACATTTGTACATATATACTTTACACGTGACTTGTGGGGGTAGGGGGTTCCTATATTGTCTTTTGTTTTCATTTTCTAGTGTATATGGTGCGTGAACTGATCAAAGCATGCACAAAAAAACAACAATGTGTGTGGTTGTGTGATAAATCAGGGAGATATGAGAGCATATCTTCAATACATAATAGCGAGTGTAAAATAACAAACAAATGTATTACATTATTTTGAAAATTCTATTATATATATACAACTGATATACAATTGTCAATCGATAATCGACCTGAAAGTTTTGTATAAAAATAGTCATTGTCTTGATTATTGTTCAGCTATTGTCGTATGGACTATTTATGTCTTTACGATATTTGGTCGAACTAATATTTTTACTAAATGTAACATAAAATAATTTTACACTCTCTTATAGCATATGTTTCAAAAACCGTCGCATACTGTAACAATTATAATTATTTATAATTTTTCAAATAGGAAAAATGTCTGAAGAAGTGCATTGTAAATTTCGAATTAATATTTATAAATTAATTATAGTAAAAACAAGAATAATAGAAACAAAAGCTATTCAGCATTAGCAACACAACTTATCAGCTGCTACATGAAAGATCAAACTAGTGTTTTGAATGTTTTTATACCCTTCACCACACTGTGGTACAGGGTATTATGTCTTTGTGCATATGTTTGTAACAGGCAAAAATAATCGAGATAGACCCATGGTTCCTTTTGAAAATATGTATAGAATCACTTTCTGAGTCGATGTATGCATGTCCGTCCGTCCGTCTGTGCATGTTAAATTGTAAACAAAGTACAGGTCGCATTTATGATCCGAATTGGATGAAATTTGACATAGGTCACTTAGTCGGCTCAAGGACGAACCCTATTGAAATTGGGAAAAATCGGATCACATTTAGATATAGCTCCCATATATATATTTAACCGATTTAATGTAAACGGTCCCTATATATCTTTCGATTTGCACGAAATTTGGTACCGCCTAATCATTTAGGTCTAGAATTATGTCTGCCAAGTTTCGAGAAAATCGGTCCAGATTTATATATAGCTCCCATATATAGTTTCGTCCGATTTCATGTAAATGGTGCCCCAAAGTCCCAATATATCTTTCGATTTGCACGAAATTTGGCATAACGTACTGAATTAAGCCTAGAGTGATGTCTGCCAAGTTTCGAGAAAATCGGTCCAGATTTAGATATAGCTCCCATATATAGTTTCGTCCGATTTCATGTAAATGGTGCACCAAAGCCCTATATATCCTTCGATTTGCACGAAATTTGGCATAACGTACTGAAATGAGCCTAGAGAGATGTCTGCCAAGTTTCGAGAAAATCGGTCCAGATTTCTATATAACTCCCATATATAGTTTCGTCCGATTTCATGTAAATTGTGCCCCAAAGTCCCAATATATCTTTCGATTTGCACGAAATTTGGCATAACGTACTGAATTAAGCCTAGTGTGATGTCTGCCAAGTTTCGAGAAAATCGGTCCAGATTTAGATATATAGTTTCGTCCGATTTCATGTAAATGGTGCACCAAAGTCCCTATATATCCTTCGATTTGCACGAAATTTGGCATAACGTACTGAAATGAGCCTAGAGAGATGTCTGCCAAGTTTCGAGAAAATCGGTCCAGATTTCTATATAACTCCCATATATATATTCGTCCGATTTAATGTAAATGGTGCACCAAAGTCCCTATATATCTCTCGATATGCACGAAATTTGGCACAGCTTAATGAATTAGGTCTAGTATGATGTGTGCTAAGTTTCGTAAAAATCGGTTCAGATTTAGATATAGCTCCCATATATATATATATATATATATATATTCGTCCGTGTTAATGTAAATGGTGCACTAAAGTCCCTATATATCTCTCGATTTGCACGAAATTTGGCGTAGCGTACTGAATTAGGTCTAGAATGATGTGTGTTAAATTTCCTGAAAATCGGTGCAGATTTAGATATAGCTCTCATTATACCCTTCACCACACTGTGGTACAGGGTATTATGTCTTTGTGCATATGTTTGTAACAGGCAAAAATAATCGAGATAGACCCATGGTTCCTTTTGAGAATATGCATAGAATCACTTTCTGAGTCGAATTATGCATGTCCGTCCGTCTGTCCGTCTGTCCATGTTAAATTGTAAACAAAGTACAGGTCGCATTTATGATCCGAATTGGATGAAATTTGGCACAGCTCATTTGTTTGGCCCAAGGACGAACCCTATTGAAATTGGGAAAAATCGGTTCATATTTAGATATAGCTCCCATATATATTTTTGCCCGATTTACGGACTTTAGACCCTGAAAATCTTTCGATTTGCACGAAATTTAGCACAGCGTATTGAATTGAGCCACGAAAGATGTGTGTCAAGTTTCGTGAAAATCGGGTCATATTTAGATATAGCTCCCATATATAGTTTCGTCCGATTTTTGGCAAATGGCGTACCAAGGTCCCTATATATCTTTCGATTTGCACGAAATTTGGCATAGCGCACTGAATTAAGTCTAGAATGATGTGTGCAAAGTTTCGTGAAAATCGGTTCAGATTTAGATATAGCTCCCGTATATATCTTCCTCCGATTTAAGGTAAATGGTGTACCAAAGTCCTTATATATCTTTCGATTTGCACGAAATTTGGCATAGCGTACTGAATTAAGTCTAGAATGAGGTGTGCAAAGTTTCGTGAAAATCGGTTCAGATTTAGATATAGCTCCCATATATAGTTTCGCCCGGTTTTAGGTAAATAGTCCACTAAAGTCCCTTTATATCTTTTGATTTGCACGAAATTTGGCATAGCATAGGCATAGTCTTGAATGATGTGTGCAGAGTTTTCTGAAAATCGGTTCAGATTTAGATATAGCTCCTATATATATATATATATTATTTAAGGTAATTGGTGCATCAAAGACCCTATATATCTTTCGATTTGCACGGAATTCAGCATAGCATACTGAATTACGTCTATAATAATAACAAGCTATGTCTGTTAGGATACATATGTAGAATATACCCAAAGTGGTGAAGGGTATCACATAGTCGGCCCCGTCCGACTTTACTACTTTCCTTACTGGTTATATATTGAAAATTATATTTAGAAATAAATTACAAATATAACAAAAATTAAGCTCTAGCTACTAGGCCTTTTATATATCAAAAGTATTGCGAAATTGCATCTGCGAATTAAATTCAAACGTGCCAAGGTTCGACATTTCTTATCACATCAGAACATCCTTTTCAGAGAAGTTTTTTCTATAGTGGCGGAGTTTTTTCCATACAACCTTCAAAGGTTTCTTCTTTTTGGACTTTAATTTCTAACCGTACAATCTAAAAAATGATTTCTATGGGCAAGACAGAGTTAAAGATTACAGTAGGGATCGTTACAGGTCATTGCTGAATCAGACAATTTTTTATTTGAGGAAGAAGAGTAGGCAGGAACAATGGAATCCAATGTCTTTGACAACCTATAACCTAACAATATGTAGTTTCTTCCCTAGTATACACCTTCTGTAGTTTTTGCTGATTTTGTTTTCATTAACTAGGTCATTTATTATATGGACCTTTAAGCGCGATTTAATTTAATGATAAGGAAATACCTCAATAACTGAAGTCAGGCATTTATGTACATAATTTTATATTTTTTACAATGAGATTTTGGGTCTGTGTAAAATTTCTGTTTACAATTTCCTATTGTAAGTAAAGTTTCAAACTGTAGACTTCTTTCCAATGAAATTAAATTAAAATATATATACAAATTACGTGTATGGACGTGATAGCCTAAACTCGAAATCTACTGGATAGATTTTGACCAAACTTTAACATGCTCTATGGGGCGTGAGGAGTGTTTCTGTGTAATGTGAAGTTCGTCCCCCAGATGACACAATATTCCGCTTCAGTAATCTGCATTTGAACAAAAATTATAATATCAATTTAGTGGACCTTTTATTCTTCTTCGAAATATAAATCTGCCATGACATTGCAATGGAACCAGACTTCCAGTGAAAATAACATTTGAGGGCAAAACAACGTTTGTCTCGGTCAGCTAGCAGCAAATATAAAATTTATTAATAATATTTAAGTCAGGCAGTTATATTAGTTTATGTTAGGTTTCTTGGGAACGCAAAAAGATTGAATTATATAACGCTTAATAAAATTCCATCAATAATTATTTTCCAATGTATTTCTTTTAGGCAAAAATTCAAAAAATGCGGCGGCTAAATCCGAAAAAATTGTCAATGGCGACAATGTCGATAACAAAACAGATGTGAAAACTAATGGAGCCACAACAGACACGAATGCAAATGATGTCGCCGTGGCCGAGAAAAAGGAAGAGGTAACTGTACCCGAGGGAGAAGAAACCTACGAAGAAGACATCAATTTAGATGCTCTCCATGACAACGGTATTACTGTGAACATTCAAAGTCCCGGTGCAGAAATGTGGTCAGTCCAACTATCTAGCATGGAACTTGTCCAGGAAATTCATCAATTGCTAATGGATAGAGAAGACACATGTCATCGTACATGTTTCACATTGCAATTAGACGGTGTTACTTTGGATAATTTTGCTGAATTGAAAACCATCGAAGGCTTAAAAAATGGTTCGACCATAAAAGTCGTAGAAGAACCCTACACAATGCGGGAGGCAAGAATTCATGTTCGCCATGTCCGAGATTTGTTAAAAAGCATGGATCTAGCGGATGCATATAATGGTGTCGAATGTAATTCACTGACATTCTTACACTCCATTACTCAGGGTGACTTGTTGGAAAAGAAGAAATCTCGACCAGATTCTGTTGATTGCACACCACCAGAGTACATTATGCCAGGTGTGAAGGAAGCGCCTTTACAACCCCTGCAGCCTGGAGTAAATAAGAACTCCAAGGGACCGCAAGCTTTGAAGGTTCTCACAACATCGGCATGGAATCCACCACCTGGTCCACGCAAGCTCCACGGTGACCTTATGTATTTGTATGTCGTTACAATGGAAGATAAGCGTTTCCATATTTCCGCCTGTCCTAAGGGTTTCTATATCAACCAATCAACTGATGATGTATTTAATCCAAAACCAGACAATCCCAGCCATTTAAGTCACTCCCTAATCGATTTGCTATCGCAAATATCACCATCTTTCAAACGTGCCTTCCAACAAATGCAGAAGAAGCGTACATTACGCCATGCATTTGAAAGGGTAGCTACACCCTACCAAGTCTACCAATGGACAGCACCTCAATTGGAGCACACAATTGACGCAATACGTGCCGAAGATGCCTTCTCTTCAAAATTGGGGTACGCTTCCACACGAGTTAATTTTTCCCTCCTTATTTTTTCACACATATTTTTTTGGTTAATTTTCTTTCAGATATGAAGAACATATCCCTGGCCAAACTAGAGATTGGAACGAAGAACTGCAGACCACAAGGGAGTTGCCCAGAAAGACATTGCCAGAACGACTATTGCGGGAACGCGCTATATTTAAAGTTCATGGCGATTTTGTTATTGCGGCCACGAGAGGAGCAATGGCTGTAATTGATGGCAATGTTCTAGCCATTAACCCAGGGGAAGACCCTAAGATGCAGATGTTTATTTGGAATAACATATTCTTTTCATTGGGTTTCGATGTCCGCGACCACTACAAAGAGTTGGGTGGTGATGTTGCTGCTTTCGTAGCACCCCGCAATGATTTGCATGGTGTTCGTGTTTACAGTGCCGTCGATGTTGAGGGTTTGTACACATTGGGCACTGTGGTGGTGGACTATCGCGGCTACCGAGTAACTGCCCAGTCTATTATTCCTGGTATTTTGGAAAGAGACCAAGAGCAGTCTGTAGTGTATGGAAGCATTGATTTTGGCAAGACCGTTCTCTCCCATCCCAAATATTTAGAGCTACTCCGCAAGGCTGGAAAGCACTTGAAAATCTTGCCACATTCTGTTCTAAATGAAAGGGACGAACCCGTCGAATTGTGTTCTTCAGTCGAATGCAAGGGTATAATAGGAAATGATGGTCGCCATTATATTTTGGATTTGTTGCGAACTTTCCCACCAGATGTAAACTTCCTAAAATTAGACATTGAATTGTGTCCCGAACTAAAGGCCATGGGTTTCCCCATTGAGCACAAGCACAAATTGTCTTGTTTGCGCCAGGAATTGTTAGAAGCATTTATTGAAGATCGTTATGTTAGTTTTATAAGAAATGCTGCTCAACACTTGCAGCAATTGAATGCAACTAAGAAATCTCAGGAAGAAGAAGCTAAAGCCACCGCCGCCATCACAGAAAAGGGAGAAGAAACCAAAGATGAAAAACCAACAGACAACGAACAAAAGAAGGTCGAAAGTGAAGAGAAGGTGGATAGCACCGAGGCTATTGAAAATGCCTACGACGCTATTAAGGAAGCCCAATCCAGTGTGGCAACTGCTGATGAAACTCAAGCAGCCGAAGTGGTTAAACGCGCTTGCGCCGCTGTTGGCTCTCTCAAGGAGAAGGAATTCGATTTCCGTTTCAATCCAGATGTCTTCTCTCCAGGCATTCGCCACGTTGACGACAAAGAGGGCAACTCGTTGGCTAAACAAAAGAAGTTGGTACAAGAAGCCGCCGAATTTTTGGTGTTGAAACAGATTCCTGCCTTTATTAAAGAACACATGAGCCATACTTCGCCTCCCATGGACGGCACTAGTGTTACCGAGGCCCTTCATAGTCATGGTATCAATGTACGTTACTTGGGCAAAGTGATCACAATGCTGGCCGAAGTGCCACGCATGGAATATTTGCACCGCATTTCTGTCATGGAGTTGATAATTCGCGCTACCAAACACATATACTACGCATACATGCAAAATACAGATGCTATGCATCTATCGGCTGCAATCAGTCACTTTTTAAATTGCTTCCTCTCGTCTGGACCTGCGAATCCCAACACCGCTGCCGAAGAATTGAATAAGAACAGTAACAACGGCACCAATACTAAGCGCGGCAAGAACAAGAACAAAACATCTGGCAAAAATAACCAAAAGAATGGTCAAGCCACAAACAATGACAGCAACGATTGGGCCCTTATGACACCAAAGACTTTGTGGCAACAAATCAAAAAGGAGGCGAAATCCTATTGGGACTTTGACATTGGCTGTGATTCGATAGAAACTGCCATAGAGAAATACTCGCTGCAAAGAGTGAGCATACTTCGTGCCTTCTGCCTGAAGGTGGGCATTCAAATATTGCTTCGTGAATACAATTTTGAGTCACGTAACAAATCGACATTCACCGAAGAGGATATTCTCAATGTGTTCCCCATTGTGAAGCACATCAATCCTCGGGCTTCCGATGCTTATAATTTCTATATGTCGGGCCAATCAAAGATCCAACAAGGTCTATTCAAAGAAGGCTATGAGTTGATAAGCGAAGCATTGAATTTGCTGAACAACGTATTCGGCGCAATGCATTCCGAGAATCGTTCGTGTCTTCGTATGTTGGCCCGCCTTAGCTATTTGTTGGGTGACGCCCAAGAAGCTCTGGCCATTCAACAGAGGGCGGTCATTATGAGTGAACGTGTAAATGGCATCGATAATCCATGTACCATCTTAGAATATGTAAGTGATGTCCAATATTGAACCTGCAACTCGGTAATTCACACACATTGTTTTCGTATTTTTTATTTTTTTAGACACATTTGTCCCTCTACTGCTTTGCAAATGGTCAAGTGAGCACTTCCTTGAAGTTGCTGTACCGTGCCAGATATTTGTTGGTATTGATATGTGGTGAAGATCACCCCGAAGTCGCCCTTATCGATGTGAGTATCAAAATGATTATTGTATATTACTCGTCTTACATGGTTGAGGAAAGCTTTGCTCCAGTCATTATTTTTATGAGGACCTGCTCTGAATGTATTTGGTTTTTTCTTTGCAGAGTAATATAAGTTTGATTTTGCACGCTGTCGGTCAATATGAACTATCTTTACGTTTTATTGAACATGCTTTGAAACTTAATTTGAAATATTATGGAAACAAATCAATGCATGTCGCTGTTAGTTACCATCTGGTAGCCAGGACTCAGTCATGCATGGGTGATTTCCGCTCAGCCTTAAATAACGAAAAGGAAACCTATGCCATATACAAGTCACAAGTAAGATATTTCTCGTGGAAATTATTCGATATAGAATTATTGTTATTAATTTGTTTTTAAAAATATCCTAAATAGCTGGGAGAAACACACGAAAAGACCCGTGAGTCTGCCGAATGCCTCAGACTTTTAACGCAACAAGCTGTGCTTTTGCAACGTAAAATGAATGACATATATTCGAACGGTAAACTCACAACAGGACTGCCTCCAATCCATATTCAACCACCCACAATGGGATCTGTGTTGGACATGCTCAATACCATAAATGGTGTTTTATTTGTGCAAATTAGGTACGAAAATATATAAATTTAACTCTTCAATTTACTTAAGTTTTTTGTTTATTTTTTTAGCCAAAAGGATATCGCACAAGTGAAAAATGAAATTGAAAAGCATTTGAAGACCACCAATGAAGTAAATGAAACCACTGAGGCGCTTAAGAAGTTGACCGTCAATGCTGGAACTGATGCTGCTGATGCCCAACAAACACTAACAAATGGCAACGAAGCAACTAGCACTGATGCGGGTGAGAAGGCCGCATCTAGTTGAATACCCACAAAGGGAACATCCAACCAGACTAATTGTAATCCTAAATATATAACTAATTATAGTAGATACCCATATTCCTTGAATATTGGACAGTTTCCGCAGCTTATGTTTTCGAATGTGAATAGTTTGAACATCAAGGGAATTATTCATGAAAATCGAGAACAACCACTACAACATCATATACACACACCCGCATACACACACATATATATTGTTAACTAGACTAATGTTACAACAATAGGGCCGGGCGATGTCTTCGAAAAAAAAAAAACACAAATTCGTTGCCCATTCAAGAACAAGAACAATTACTACTACTTTTAATCACATTTCATTTGTCTGTTATCAGAAGGAGAAGGAAGAAGCGCTGTATCCACACATATATTTTTGTTTTCTATTTTATTTCTTTATATATGAGAGCTTATTGCTCTTTAATTTTGCCTACAGAATAAGAAAGAATATTCTTGAAAATAATTTGTTTTTTTTATTATCACCTTTAATTTAGCAATTTTTAGATTTAATCTCAATAAGCATTGCTACTGTTAACAAAACTATTGAAACTACAGAAATGATGACGCACTGTTAGCACTGTATTTAAAACAACAAATCAAACTTTTATACATTGCAATGAAAAACAAAACGAAAAGAAAAATTATAACAAAAATTAATAGCCATAGTTTATGATAAAATTTTCTATTTTTTGATAATTGAAGCGGTTTTTATTCTGTAATTGTCATTTTTGTAAAATTGGCGATTGTAATCGCAACTCGTGGCAACAAGTGTGTTCAATTTTTGTGGACAATGAAAAAAAATATTATGTATCATTTTTATTATATTTTGTTGAGTTGAATTCATCTATATATGCAAATATATAAATAAATAATGAAAAAAAAACATTATTATAAAACCTATAAACACTTGTCATCAATTGTACTAATCGAGGGATGGGAAAGAATTTTAAGTACGATTTACTTCAGAAGTAAAACATAAAATAAACAGCAAAGAATCAATTACTAGAAATAATAAAAATGCCTTTCCAAAGACAAAAGCAAGCGTTTGCGCTTGCATTTTTTTTAGTGTAATAACGAATAGGACTCGTTATTTGCTTTCAAGAACTAATATGAATACTAGTTCGTTTTTGCGACGATCGAATGAAATGTTTGCAGTTTTAGAAATTGAAATGCAATTTTAAAAATAAACCCATTTGGCTTTTGTTTGTTTGCTTTGTGTGGAGTTGGGTTACAATTTGAAATTAAAAGAAAATTCTTATGTCAGCAGTAGCAAGTGTTAAATCCACGATCAAAATCTGCCTATTTAGAAAAAACCTTTGAAATTGAAAAAAAATTCTACTCGCGGCGCCCAATTTTCCAACGGTACATAGGAGAAAATGTTATATCGACTGTTGTACATCAACACTTGCTTCATCTTATAGTAGGTAAGTATGTTTGATATTCCAATAAATTGTACAAATTGTTTCTGGAGGTTTGTAAATAGTTTTCTTCTAGAAACGATTGGCAGACATTTTTCTTTCAACTTGGTCGTTTAATTTTTTATTTGATTTTTGTTCAGTAAGATATTATTTTACATTCATAATTATAATTACAAAGAAATTTCCATAAACATAGTGGATAATAAATAGCAAAAAATCACCGTATTCCCATTTCTCGTTCAAACTGTTCAGCTTTGAGGGATCCATCAATGCTCACGAAATCCTTATTAAAAACACTATAAGCGCTGACTTCATCAGGATTTTTTGGTCCTGTCCGCGTATTAATGTACATGACAACGAATCCAGATAATATTAAATACACAATCCCAAATTCTAGTTCGATTGCAATTATATATAAAATTAACCAAAGGGCTATATAGGCTACTCGAAGTAAGTAACGCAAAACGATATCATTTCGGGATTCATGAGTTGTATCGACGTTGCTGATAGATTCTTCGGATGAATCTTCATCAATAGAATGGACACTTGTTTGCTGACGTACAAGCTCTGGTTTATCATTGGTTTCTCCACTTCGTTTGTCTGTCATTGCAAAGCCCGTAATTGTTTCCACAAATCGTTGAAACTTTTCCCGTCGTTTCTTCTTCATCCGATATTTTTGTAACTTTTCTTCAGGTGCTTCCATCTTCTGTGGGTTTATCAAGGAAACAGTTTTATTTGTAACCAAGATCTATTAATAAGGTCACCAAGATAGCAATCGAAATCGGAAAACAGCTGTTTTTTCTCAAGTCTAATGTCAAAAATTTCGACTTTGTTTACGTTTTCATAATGGAAGTCAATTCACAATAATGCATTTTGACAGCTAACTTGAGAGGTATCGATAATCAGCTGGTCTCCCTTGGTGACCAAGATCTATTAATAAGGTCACCAAGATAGCAATCGAAATCGGAAAACAGCTGTTTTTTCTCAAGTCTAATGTCAAAAATTTCGACTTTGTTTACGTTTTCATAATGGGAGTCAATTCACAATAATGCATTTTGAGAGGTATCGATAATCAGCTGGTCTCCCTTGGTGACCTTATTTATAGGCCATGTTGGTGACCTTATTAATTGGCCATGTTTGTAACATGGCCTATAAACAAGATCTATTAATAAGGTCAGCAAGATAGCAATCGAAATCGGAAAACAGCTGTTTTTTCTCAAGTCTAATGTCAAAAATTTCGACTTTGTTTACGTTTTCATAATGGAAGTCAATTCACAATAATACATTTTATATAGGCCATGCCCAAGATCTATTAATAAGGTCACCAAGATAGCAATCGAAATCGGAAAACAGCTGTTTTTTCTCAAGTCTAATGTCAAAAATTTTGACTTTGTTTACATTTTCATAATGGAAGTCAATTCACAATAATGTTTACATTTTCATAATGGAAGTCAATTCACAATAATGCATTTTGACAGCAAACTTGAGAGGTATCGATAATCAGCTGGTCTCCCAAGGGAGACCACGCCATGCCTATAAATAAGGTCACCAAGGGAGACCTGTTTATTAATAAGGTCACCAAGATAGCAATCGAAATCGGAAAACAGCTGTTTTTTCTCAAGTCTAATGTCAAAAATTTCGACTTTGTTCACGTTTTCATAATGGAAGTCAATTCACAATAACGCATTTTGACATCAAACTTGAGAGGTATCGATTATCAGCTGGTCTCCCTGGGTGACCTTATTTATAGGCCATGGATCATGCTGTAAAGCTGTAAAGGGAGTTGCCTCGGGTACACTTAGCACCTTGAACGGCAATTTGGGGTCCGAAGTTAAAGTGATTTTGAAAGTAACCTTAGACATGTTGATTGTTGGCGTCTGCTTGGCCGATTAACTAATAATGACAAAAATGTTAGTGACGTGGTCAGTTTACAATTTCACAGTAAACAAATTGTACTCAATAACAACTTAGGTATGCAGTTTTCAATACACAACCACGGAAGAAATCAATGTTTTTCAACAATGTTGGTTTTACACCAACAGTGTAAAACCATGTTAACATATGTCAGGTATTCTCTCAACACATGAAATCAAACGAAATGGCGTCGTGTGAGAGACATTTTTCGTAGGAGACATAGACATCGTGGGAGACATCTGGAAGACATTTCTGGAAGCAATTTCTACAAGGTGGCGGTCAGTTTTTATGTAATAACTCTACTCTCTCTCTCTCTTCTTTCAGTGGAGTCCTGGAGAAACATAAAAATACGCGAAATGTACCAAAAAATGGCTGGCGGTTCTTTGTTATCCAAACCTGTGCCATTAAAATAAATAATAAAATAAAACTGATTTGTTTTACAAAATATACTCACAATCTTTGGGTAATGATGGTTTTTTTGAAAAAACGAAAACCTTTAACATGTGGAAAATGTGGATCTACTTCACTGTGTTGCCAAACACAATCGACAAATTAAGTAATAATTTACATGACATTGTTTACATTGTTTGTATACCAGTGGCCAAGGACTCATCATGAACATCATGAACAGAAAAACATTTAATGGCTTTTTCCAAAACATCTAAACTTAAACTTTGTCGTACAATGATGGGCCAAATCGGCTTTGCCAATTAATAATAAATCCTCATCGAATAGGCGTTCAATGGGGGTATAAATTCTGTATTCTGTAATGAATTAAAATTAAATTGAATTAAATTAAAATGGAGAGTATTTTTACTTTGTCTCAGTCCGTGGATCTTGCTTCAATCAGCAATTCCTTTCTTTGGAAAACAAATGCATAATGCCACTTGTCACCGAAGCAGAATGATTAATAATGTTCTCCTGAAACAGCCGCACAATGTAGGCCAAAAAGGACAAGGTCTTAATTTGGGCACCCGCTTATTGAACTTCTGAAACAGACAATTTAAAAGGGATTAAAATAAATTAATAAAAAACTTAAATATAATCACCTGTGCACTGTTGAGGGTTGCAGAGTAATGGTGGTTATAATTAATTACCACCAGAAGAATTAAGGGTATAGGCATTCTTATAGATTTAATACATTAATACCACAAAAATAATGGGTAATTCTTGTAGGACCCTTAGCGATAACATGCCGCGGGGTAATAGTTATACTATAAGGACTCTAAGGAGTAAAAACAATATTATCTCATTTCCAGCTCTCTCCGTTACCCAAATCCAAATTTAGTGCATTGTCTATTCTATTTACTATTCGAACAGATAAATTTTCCAAATTTGTCTCCATAACTCAATACTACACTTTAACAATAATCTAAATTCCAAATCTCTGGATTCAACCAAATCCAAATTTAGTACCATTTAGTACTTTTCATGCTCATAAGTAAAAATTTCTAAAACTACATCAATCCTACACTCTAACAGTAATCTTAATTCGACCAAAGTCCAATTTGTACCAAATTTAGTACTTTTCGTACAAATTTCCAAATGTACTTCAATCCTACTTTCAAATAGTAATCGTTAGTCCAAATTAAAGAATTTCAGCTCTGTCTGATCATTAAAACACTAATTATACCAGATTTGGTACCATTCTGTACTTCTCGTACCCATATTACAAACCTATCTCAATATTCCAAACAAATTTAAGAACTTCAGATCTGTCTGTTCTCCAAATTGTACCAGATTTGGTACCATTCTGTACTTTTCCAACACTCCCCTAGTAACCTAAGTGCTAACTTTCTGAATTCGATTTCTAACCGTTCACTCAAGTCCAAATTGTACATAATTTTGTGTTTTTCGAACCCATAAGTACGAATTTCCTCATGCTCTCCAATAATAACCTTAAGTGCACATGCTCTATCCGTTCACCTACATCCAAATTGTATCAAATTTAGTACCATTTATTACTTTTGTGGGGTGCGCCTCTGTTTGCTATTGGGAATAAGAAGAAGCATGCATATTTACGATCATTCACAATAGTCAAACCATACGTTTCCGAATAATGTCAAACAAAACACGACAGAGAGAATTGGAATAAATTATAAACAAAAGAAAAAATATGATGACAGGAGCCTTTCTTCCTGATTAAATGGATAAATTTCGTTCCTTTTTGATTTGACGCTTGATGAAGATTGGTTGTGTGGCCCTGATTAGAGTAAAGGAAATACATCTTTTCTAAATTCCAATTCTAACTTTTTTATTGTGGAATATTGATTTTGAATTTGAAAGTCAACACAAAACAGCAATACAATACAAACAAAAACGAACTGAAGGTGCATGAAAATATTAAACATTTGAAAAACAATTTTGCTTAAAAAAAATTAAAAAAGAAATATCAGGAGCCACAGCATCGCACATCCAATCCAACGAGGGAGAATCATCACTTTATGGAATGACCAGTCCGGCATGCGCAGGTATCTTGCCAAAGCGACTACATGCTTTAAACTCTGAACGGACAGACGAACGACCAGCTTCGAATTTGATATATTCCAAAGCTAATCTTGCTATAAAAAAATTGAACAAAGTTAAAGGGTGAACAAGTGCATTTCTTTTATATATCGACTGTGGTCACCTGTTGTTTTTTTCTAATTCGGGGTTAAGCTCAGGCCAGGATTAGGGACCACCAACATAGACAGCCTTCAAAGTGATACGCCTTGGTTGCCACTTTCTGTATATTTGAAACATAAAAAAAGAAACAAGAAAATGGAAAAAATACTGGAATGTATTAAAAAAGGCTACTATATACTTACGAATATACCATGCGCGAGCTTTGGGGAAGATTACCCTGAAAAGAGTGGAAAAAAATATGGTAATTAATGATATAATTTTCAGTAAATAGATTGCAATGTATTTGGTGTGAAGAATATTTTAGGAAGGTGGTAGGGATGTGGTGAAGGAGAGGTAGGGGTAGGTCAGATTAGGGACACAACCATGTGTCATGGCGAGAAGGAATCTCGGTGGGTGGGAGTTTCCTCGGCAGGTTAACCGTCGGGGGAACAACTGTTTCTATACTTATAGGTTTGTGTAGTTAAACTACAAGCATTATTTTCTAGTTATTCTTTTTCCCATTTTCTTTTTCTGGCATATTTCGGGTTTCCCAAAATTTCATCAATTTATTTCAATTAAAAGCCCGGTATGATTTAGTTTGTTTTTGTACAGTCGTATCGTTCATTGGTTGGCAAGAACCAACCCTCATCCGGCGAGCTTTAGCAGCGCAAAAAGCCAGCATACCGGCAAAGCCAATCAACGAACATAATATATAAACCTTTTCAAAACATCGGCGTTTACAAAATGGCGCCCAGAACGTGGGGCCTGAAATATGTCTTTAGAGTCAATAGTCCTTTTTATGACAATAATTAATGTCCTTTCCGTGTTCTTTAATGAGTCCCGTTTAGGTAATTTTGAGAGTCCCTGACGCGTTGCTACATCGAAGACACGGAAGGGAACATCAATTATTTTTCATAAATTAAATATGGTAAGATTTCTTGGTCTAGTGGCTTAGTCGTTTGGTCTTTTATCTAGACTTCTAATTGCACTAGTCCCAAAAATTCTTGCCATGTTTTATTCAACTCAATAGTTCATTTTAATTCCCATTGTTTCCTTAGTACTTAACAAATTCTTAAATTGTTATTCACGGTCATTTGTGGAGTCCTGTCCAATATAGCCATAATAAGCTAGGAGACGCGCTGCTACACAAATGGACATGGATAAGAATTTAAGTGTTTGGAAAAT